TTGTAGTAAAGTTAACTATAAAATTAAAATATATAAAACCTAATACTTAAAAAGGCACTTATATCAAAGTTCAAATAATTTAAAAGAGATAAACTTGTGTTAAAATAAGAATTTACATTCCCTAAGTCATCCAAGTTTGAATCCATCTATCTAGAATATTAGGAAAATATTATTTGTCTAATAATTAATATTACGTGCAAGGATAAGTCATATGAGAAATGATATTCTTATATTTAATTTTAATATGATCATTCCATGGGATAAATCTCAATCTTTCAATAACAGATTAATGATCACGATTTTATTGACAAGATTTATAAAAATAGAAAGAAAAGATATTCAAATTAATAGCTAGCCGATGATCTCTCATTGAATACGTGAAAATTTATATGACTCAGAGCCTGTTTGGATCCTCTTATTTTTAAGCTAGAGGTTACTTATAAGCTAAAGTTAAAAAAAGAGCTTAAAAAAGAAGCTAAAAACTGTTTGGAAATTACATAAAAATTTTAGCTTAAAATTTACTTAAAAGCACATATTTCAAGAAGATTATCTCTCTCTATCTTTATCACTCTTCATTTTAAAAAAAACACACAATTCAAGAAAAACAGATAAGAGCTTAAAAAAAAGCTCCTCTTAAGAGCTTTTAGTTTTCAGCTTTTTTCTTCATTATAAAAAAAAAAGAATTTTTCATTATAAGAGCTTTTTTCAAAACCTGTTTGACCTAGCTTATGCTTATAAGTAGCTTCTAGCTTAAAAAAGAGAGGATCCAAACAGGCACTTGGTTGTGTTAAAATTAAACATGAGAACCAACTAAAAAATATTGATTAAACATGAGAAAATGCATTTATAGATTCTGTTAAATCTTTCTGTTTTTATTTAAACAAAATGACAAATAATAAAATTTTGACATTTGTTTAAAGACATTATAACTAAGTAAGTAGGGATAGGATATTGTGACACACAAATAATGTTACGCACAATGTTACGACCACATCTTAACCGTTGATTTCCGTCAATCAACAGTTATCATTTATTGCGAATTAATAATTAATTAATGAGTTTGATTTGAAAAATAATAAACGTTGATTGGCGGAAATCAACGGTTAAGATGTGGTCGTAACATTGTGCGTAACATTATTTGTGTGTCACAATATCCTATCCCAAGTATACTTTGTAAATATTTCCAAAAAAAAAAAAAAGTATACTTTGTAAATTTTTAGAACTTTATTAAATTTTAAATAGGTTCATATAATATAAAAAATTTAAATAAAATTTTTATATTTCTAACTTTTTTTTTATATTTTAACTAAATTTTTAATTAGATGTTCACTAATTATAACTAAGTTCTTGAAATCTATAATAGTAATACAAAAAAATCTTCTATAACCATAAAATCCATTTATTATTTTAAAAAACATTTAAAATATAAAATTCAGAAAAAAAAAATTTAATTATGAAAGATTGTTTAAAATTTAGTATTGCTAGGGGTGTTAACGGGTCAAGCCAAGCAAAGCTTTGGTCTAAAAAGGCTAAGCCTCTGTTTAAATGTGTCTGACCAAGCTTGTTACCTGTTATGAATATAATTATTGGCCTGTGGCCTGACTTATTTATAAAAAATAAAAGCCTGATTTAACCTGTCTAAAAATAAAAAACACAACAAAAATTTATCCAAACAGAATATACAATCAACAGCACAAGTAATTCCATAAATATTCATAAATTCAATGTATATCCAAACAGCATAATATAAAACAAAATTATTCAAAAAGTATATTTAACCAATAAAATAGGTGAAATGGATTGAGGAGAGAGAGGGAGTGTTATTACAAGTAGTATAAAAAATATAAAATAAAAATTAATATACTGGGCCAGCATAAGAGTCTCTAAGCCGAGCTTTTGAATTGGGACATGAAGCCTTTTTATTAAACGAGTTTTTATTCAAGTCAAAGCTTGATTTCAATAATCAATTTTAAACATGTAAGCTCAGGCCTTCTCGAACCGAACCAAATACCTCTAGTTTATTTATCACCCTAAGTATTACCTAATGTGTTAGCTGCAAAAAAATTGAAAGGGGCATAATCTTGTATAACTGACGAAAAAATCAAAACCGATAAATATTCACCTACACTAAAAGTAAAACCGAATAATAAGAATATTTATTATTAAGTAATAAAAATCTTTAATATAAGTATTACTTAATAATAAATATTCTTATTCCATAACATAATAAGAAACCATGAGTTCAACGTTTCTGATATAAAACCAACTATTCAAGGATAATTAGAAAAATAATCAAAATTTTCCTTACATTAATTTTGAAATTAAAACTTATCTTTTTGCCATAAAAATAGTTTAAAAGTTATTATTTACTGAAATAACTGAAAATTAACATTAAAGGAATAATTTTTTTAAATAATTTATTGATAATAAAATTAATATTTTGAACAAATTTAGTTCTAAATTAAAAGTTTGATTTTATTAATTAAATATTCCTTAAGAGTACATATTTTGAAATTAAATTACAAAGTATCAAATAAATAGATTATAATTTTATTATATTCATAAAAAATGAAAAAAATTGGTGAAAAGTTTAATATTTTAATAAGTAATTAAAATAATTAATGAATATTATCTTTTTAATTTCTATTTTCAATATTCAATCCGATTTAAGATCTATATTAGAGATTTCTCTTTTAATAATATTATTATTTTCATGATTTTTAATTTCTCAACATGTGTGCTTAGAAACTCTTAAAATCTATTTACCAAAAAAAAAAAAAAAAAACTCTTAAAATCTTAAATCACTATGTCACATTTTTTTTTTTTCCAAAAAAAATGAGATTGGGATAATAATTTTTTTGGTATAGACCCATCATTAATTAAAGTTAAAATGTCACAATGTGAATAAGTGATTTTTTGACACTCTAAAAGCATTAATAAGCAGGGGTGTCAATTTTCATCACGACTCAGTTGACATGATATTCGCAAAACACGAAAAGTTTGTATTCGAATCAACTTATTTTCAATAGTAAAGTTCATTTTTGATTCCTAACAAAAAATATGGTTCTCACTTTAATCCCTTACAAAAATAAATTAGTCAGTTAGTCCCTAATAAATTCAAGGTGGACCCATTTTAGTCCTTTTGAGAGACTAATGTGGGTCTTTTTTGAATTTGTGAGATGGTTCTCACTTTAATCCCTTACAAAAATAAATTAGTCAGTTAGTCCCTAATAAATTCAAGGTGAACCCATTTTAGTCCTTTTGAGAGACTAATGTGGGTCTTTTTTGAATTTGTGAGGAACCACGATTTTAACTAAATGGGTCCACTCTGAATTTGTTAGGGACTAACTGACTAATTTATTTTTGTAAAGGACTAAAATGGGGACCGTGTTTATTAGGGACTAAAAATGATATTTACTCTATTTTCAAATTTACGTTGTGTTCCTATTGAAAAAATTGACAAGAAAAAATCATATTGTGTCACCTATCAAATTGTGAATCTGAAATTGATCCACTTTAGTCTTTTTATAAGTCATTCGTGTCGTGTCATATTGTGTTGTAAATATGTCATTTGTGTATTATCATGTTATGACAACCTGCATAATAGGCCACATACTTTGAGGTTATGGTTTATTTGCGTATCATATCAATTCGCAAAATAATTATATCATTATCGTGTAAAAAATTTTAACCGAATTTCAAATTCATGTTGTGTTTATGTTAATTTCCTATCATAATGGATCATGTTAACCCAAATTATCTTAATAAATTAAGATAAAAAATGTTAAAAAATAAAACATTTGTCATTATTAAAAATTAAGAAAAATGTTTATCCTTTTAAATGACACAACTTATATCATTTTACTCTCACAAAGAGGTGAGACCCACACCTTTATTTTTTTTGTCAACTCTCTCTCTTCTCCTTTATCAATCTCTTTCTCTCTTTCTTAAAATGACATAACTTTACATCCTTTAAAATGACACACACTTTACCCATAAAAATTTAGAAGATTTGATACCAAAAGCCTCTAGAGTACTATTTAGGAAAAAAGTAAAAACAAAACATTGACGAGAATCTCGAGAGCATTGATCAATAAATTAAGATTAAAAAGTATCGTGTACTGTTTAACAATTTTTAATCTTTTTTTTAATTTCCAAAAAAAAAATTGTTAAAATAATAATAAAGAATTTGCTATATTAAAAATTTAGGAGAATTGATACCAAAAGCCTTTAGAATATTTTTATAGGAAACAAATAAAAATAAAATGCCTTTTAGAGTACTTTTTTAGGAAACTAGATAAAAATATTAAACAAAAATATATAAAAATATTTAATAAAATCTTTAAGTAATTCAAAATACCCAATTAAAGATATTAAATACGTTTTAATTAATACCCTTAAGATATTTATTTGTAAAATCAAAAACATAAATGCTATTTAAAACCCTTTAAAATATGTACCAACATTTAATTTGAAATATTAGATTTAAATGTTAATTAACTAATGTGGGTCCCGTTACCAAGACCCATAACATTTATTCGTTATTGCTATGAATGCTATCAAAGTGACTACCACAAAATTTGTTTTAAATTGCATTAAAAAAACAATATTTAAATTGATTAGATGCTTATAAAAGATAATAATGGCGACTTTTGAATCCAACCTAAAACTTAATATATTAAATTTCTATGCAAAGTCAAATAATAATATAATTTTAAAAAAAAATATTTCTCTCAAGATAAAATTATTCTCAATTCTAAAACAACGTTATTTTAAAATTTAGAAAAAAATACAAGGTATTTTAAATATTTTATTTTTCTTTTATATTATAATTATTATTAAAATATTTTGTATTTTTTTTTTTTTTTTGGAAACATGTATTTTTTTTTCAAATCTGAAAACAACCTAAATTCGTTAAAAAAATTGAAAACATTTAAAAAAAACAATTTACAAGGGTAGATAAATAAACTGCAGAGAGAGATAAAAAATAATAAGGCAGAAATTGGAAAATTTTCTATTAGCTTTCCTAGTAAAACCATAGTTATTTTTAATATACATAAACCCTGGCCAATGTCACTTAACAAATGATCCTATCCTTAAACAACCTAAATTTATCTATCATTGCATTTACAAAACTTGAAAAATAAAATGATATTAAAAAAAAGAAACCAAATACCAATGATCCTCAAATAACTTAAATTGATATATTGAGATCAATCCTAGGTTTTTTCATGGACGGAAGAGGAACAACAGAGTTACACCTAGGACACTTGGGATTGTTCTTCATTATCAATACATATGATAAGCAACCAGGGCACCCTGTTGCCATTGGTGATGAAAACTTGTCTTCAGTTTCTTCTTCTTGGGTTTCTCTCATTGATGATGAAGATGATGAATATGAAGGTGATGATGCTGAAAATGATGACTTCAAGCATGATGACCTCTTCCTTATTGGCTCTTTCTCTGCTCTTTCAAGTGCAAACTTCACCTTGTCTAGTGTACACACACTTTGATAATTGCTTGATGGCAATGAAGATGAAACCAGCTTCAAATCCAAGTTTGCTTCATCAAAAAGGTTCAAGGACACATTGGATTCTGATGGGAAATTTAGGTCTTGAAGTTTTGGACCTACTGGTTTCACATGAACCTTGTTTTCAGACATAGTTGGTGAGCCTAATGTGTTGTTGCACCTCTGAATATAGACTTTCCCTGACTGCAACCATTGACAAAGATCACAAACAAAAAAACCATTATTAATCATCCAAACAAAAAAGGGGGCAAGGGGCAAATTATTCTATCTATGATCCAACTAATTATTAATCTTAAAAATATAAATATTTTCATTTATGAATTCTTGTAAAATCAATTATGATATTAACACTAGCAAACAAAATCAACAAATGTAATATAATAAGATACATACAATACAAATTAATTGAAAATGATATCAAAGAATTGAATCTGTTATGAAAGGCATCATGATATGAGAGAGAGAGAAAGGGGAAGAACCTCTGAAATGGCATCATAGCAACCATATATTAAGTTAGATAGCAGAAATCTGAAGCCTTTCAACTCAGCTTTATGAGAAATAAATACAAAGGTACAAAACAAAAACGAAAATTGAGTAATTGCACCCCTGCTGTTACATTTAAAGGCAAAAGTTTAACACAGACAAAAGAAAAAACAATAACTGATCAGAAAATTGTTAACTTTTTAATTTTTATTTTATTTTAAAATCAATCAATTCCTTCAATCCTCAGGTTTCTGAACAACAACCAATCACAAGACCATGAAAACAAATTACAAAACTTCCAAATCAAGCATTCCATAACACACAGAAACCTATTTCCTCAAGCATAAATAAACAAAATCATAAATAAAAAATAAAAATAAAAAAGGAAATAATCTCATACCACAAACCGACTCAAAACAATAAGCGTAAAAACAGAACAAAATCAATAAAAAAAATTTATAAAAATAAAAAGACAAAACAAAATACGATGATTCCATTCCATCATTAAATTTTCATTTAAAAAAAAAAAAAACAAACAGAGACAAGAATCATGACACTAACAAAAGGAATTTTCAATTAAGGGGAGTCATGAATTTTTCCGAATGGGCTTTTTTTATGAAAAAAGGAAGGGACTTTTATTTTCCCCGGAAACAAACAGAAAATACCCAGAAAAAATTTAACGAACCTGCAGGTCGAGGCGCTTCTCCCAGCCACTGGGTACCTGCAAGTCGAGGTCCAATTCCTGAGATTCAACGGAGGACCCACCAAGCAAATCCCTTGTAATCAGAGCCGTTGATTTCTCACCGTTAGATTCATTCCCCACCGTTCGATGCTTCTCATCCTTGTATCCACCACCCAGAACCCGAATCAGAGAACTCACCTCAGTAGCCATTGGTCTTGTCTTCTCGCAGAGCTTTTAGAGAGAGAAACAAGAGAGAGAAAGATAGATATGAGATTGAAATGCCTCTGTTTCTTCGTGTGTGTATGTGTGACTGTGAGAGGTTTATATATGCAATAAAGATATATGTTACGTTATAGTAAAATTAAAAGACAAAAGAGAGGAAAAAAAATTAAAATAAATGTTATTAAATACAATTAAATCCCATTAAATGGTAGTTATCGTGATTTTGAATTTTAAAATGAATCTGATTAAATTTTAATTAATTATGTCATTTATTGTGAAAGGGTATTAATTAATGGGTAGTGGAGGAGTGGGAAGAGAATTCAAGAAAAGGGTGGCATGTAAGTAATGTGAGCATTTAATGCATGGAATAGTAGTAGACAAATTTTGGTGCTTAATTATGGTAATTTTTTTTAAAATTTATTCCGTTTACTTTATCATCTTTTGAGTTTTTGGTAATATAATCATCACAAGAATTAAAGTTTCGTCATAATCACATAATGGTTTTTGTATTTTTTTTATTTTTTATTTTTTGAAAATGAATCTTTAACTTTTAATGGTTTCAAGCTCATAAATGAACCTTGGACCGTGCAGATAGCATGACGTTAGATTTGTATTATCAACCCCTCAATAAATTTGGGTAGAATACAATTTTGACACGTACCAGATCTTGGAAACTAAACTTGGGCTTTAGGCTCCACCAATTGTTTGGTCCACTTGTAGTTTCTTTGTTCTTGCTTCTGTTAAATTCTCACCAAATTTTAGACCAAATAAAAGCATGGTAGAATGAAAAATATATTCACCTTATAACTATATCGATATATATTTTTAATGCAAATTTTGGGGTTTCTATGGATTTTGAATAAGCCCTGTATTACTTAAAGTGGTTTAATTTAGGATTTGTAAATGTGGCTTATTTTGTAATGAATGTAATTAATATTTTGGAAGCCTTTGATATATGTGAATTTTGTAAGTTGAAACATGAGATATGTGCACAAAAGAGATGTAGATATGTAGGATTCTCATATTTAATGTTGTATCTTAAATATCTAAATATGTGTTATAACTTTATTTTGTTTGGATTTGGCAATCTTATATGTCTAAATTTAAATTACTAAAAGAACTAATTTTTGATTCTGTATATATAAGTAATAATTAACTAGCATATATCAAAAATTAGTATAGAATGTAATTATGAAATTACAGTATTGTGATAATCATTAATAATGTATAATTACTTTACAATAATAACAGCACCAAAAAGATATTAATAATTAAATGAATTATTAACATTTTTTCTCATTACCTTGCACATAATTTTTTTTATTAATTAGAAAATTAATAAGTGAGTAGAAGTAGCAAATAGAGTGCTATGCATAAATAAAATGGAAAACATTAATGAATGGAAAATTTGGTAATTCATAAAAACAATAAAATCTCATTTTAAAAATTTAAGATTCATCTAGATTTAAAAAGGAATCACAGGGACACGCCCAATTTATATAATAATTCTTAGAATGTATATTTTTTAAAAAAATTTAAAGACAAGCTATTTCAATACTATTGGCTATGGCACTAGTGACAGAAGGACAAACATATATAGGTCTAAGAGGGTATTTATACACATGCATGCAATTGAGGAGTGCAAAGCTATATCATTATTCATGTACAAATATGGACATCTTATTATGACATCCAAGATCTATAGATTGTATTATATATATATATATATATATATATATATATATATATATATATATATATATATATATATAAACAACCACTTTAGATAAGGTTATCTACAGCTACCCCAAAAACTACGTCGTTTTGATTAATGAAGGATGTTTATGTAATTTTAGGTGAATTAATGAAGGATGTTTATGTAATTTTGTTTTTTTTTTTATCATATTCATTTTACTGAAACATCCTTCATTAATTCACCTAAAATTACATAAACACCCTTCATTAATCAAAACGACGTAATTTTTGGGATAACTGTAGATAACCTTATCTAAAGTGGCTATAAAACCAAACTCCTTTGGCACAAGTGGTAAGGAGCCTGGGTCCCTTAACCAGAGGTCTCGAGTTCGAGCCATAGGAATGAAAAAAAAAAAATTAGGGAGAGCAGCCCCCAAAAGGGTCCGACAATGCTCGATTGGGGATTAGTCTTCAATTACGGCCGGAGGATACCCTTCAGATTACTAAAAAAAAAGTGGCTGTGAAAATATTTTTTCCATATATATATATATGGGGCAGGATATTCTTACACCGGTGTAAGAGTTAGAAATCTTACACTCAATCTTGACCATTGATCCACTTGTAATCTATGGAAAAATGTTATACTTACAATCTATTTTCGTTTACAACTTCTTACAACCATATCTTAACCGTTGATTTCCGTCAATCAATGGTTATCATCTATAATTAATTAATAAATTTATTTTGCGAAAATCTTAATCGTTGATTGGCGGAAATCAACGGTTAAGATATGGTTGTAAGAAGTTGTAAACGAAAATAAATTGTAAGTATAACCTTCCCCTCAGTATATATATCTTTGTAGCTAGATTGTGTTATGTATTATAGACATAAAATTCGAATTAGTGATTAGCTCTATTTGGATGAGTTCAAATACGATTTAATATGTTTCCGTTTCCGACAAAGTTTATATTATATTTTTCGTGCGCTATTTGTGCAGAATTTTAATTTGCATGGTTCAATCAAAATCAATTCTTTATAATTTAGGGAATATATATATCAAATCCCACAATTTTTTTGAATCAATTAGAATTAATTTATTATTTTATTAATAAGAATTGATTATTGTATTTATAGTGAATCACTGAAAAATCAATAGGTTGTTGTTTTGAGTAATGAATTATTATTTGAATTGTATTAATATGTTGAATAATTATTTCATGCTTCCCAAAAAAAAAAAAGAATAATTAATTCATAATTAATTTTGAAGCCTTTTAACACATTGCTGACATTATTCAAAATCAATTACAATGTTACTTTTAAAATATATAAAAATAAGAGTTATTTAAAATAAGAGTTTTGAATTTTTTTAAACTTTGACACAAATGAATGAGATGAATGTTAGATATAATTCAATGCTTGAATAAAATTTTATTTTATTTTATTTTATTTTTTATTTTTTTTGCTTACCAAAAAAAAAGAATTTTTTTTTTATAAAAAATATTAAATAATATAAATGTATCGAGTGTTATATCAATGTGAAGTCAACGTTATTTGTAGCGTGAGACGTTAGAGAAATCACAAATTTTCATATAAAGATTAAACATATAATTAGTGACACATGTAATATTATTCATTTTTTTATTCACTTTTTGCCTTTTTCAGCTCTCAATTGAGTGCATTTTCGGTACACTGGTTGTATGTGAGATTTTCACTCAAAAAGTGACACATGGATTAAATTTTTTTTCTCTTTCCCAAATAACTAACGTATTTTCTCTTCGACTTTGATTGGCTCGTCGCACCTAATCAATAGTGCGACGAAGTACCTTAAATTTAAGGTATAATGCATTAAAAGATATTAATTAATACAATAAATCCTACACAAAATGCATACGAGATTAGTTGCACATTTCTAATATGAGATTGCTACCTTGGTAATATTTCTAATGTGGGATTGTCAAGTTGGTAATAGGTCATGCAAGATTAATTAGTTCCTCGGGCATTTCACATAAACCAATGCGAGTTTGAGAATCGCACGGTGATTATCACACCACGTGGCTTAGACCAATAAGTCTTACTAATCATGCAAGATTGCATGTAAACTATACAAGACTTGCCAATGCACAACACTTTAAGTCAAACCAGTGTCGCAGATGCATGAGATTAGTCTTTTCTGGTTAACGTGCAGGATTGATTGTATATATTAATTTGATTATATATTTAAAAAGTGAACAATTTTGATAATTATTTATTAAAATTGTACTAACGCAGAGCATAATATGTGTGGGTGCTCCCTCTCGTCTCTCTGACTCTATCACTAACTCACCATAATTCGTTAGAGGCAAGTTAAAGATGATAATTTATCTTTATTAAGATTTATTTCTTATTAGCTTTCCTTCTCTAATCGAACTTTATTTGTGAACCAACTATTTCAAAACTGTAAATGAATACTTCCATGCTTTTATAACTATTCTCCTCATACAATCAACGGTATGAGTATGCTATATCTCATCCAAACAAACACAAATATTCTGAACGAAATCTATAATACATGTGGTTTTGGTTTTAGGATAGTGAATTCTGGTGGTTTGGGGATATGAGAAGAGCAACCCCTTTGTGAAATGAAGAATAGTGAACAACTATAACAAAGTGTTACTCAATGCTGAAATCTAATTCAAAACATTTGAGTCAAAGTGCACAATTTGATCCTACCAATTGTATCAACCTTCATTGACTAGTCTAATCTCACTTTATTTTTCAACATTACCCTAATTTGTTTCATTATGATCCAAAATCAATGAGAATTTTAGTAACAATGGATTATATGTGTTGGGTATGATTCTTATTTCGTATTCAAAAAACAATTCTTATTGGTCGACACAGAGAAAGCCAATAGAAGACATCAAAGGCTTGATATCGTTGTGGCCTGGGGCTTAAAGTTTATTTTATTTTTGGGAAACGTTCAAAAAATCCCATGTGGTGTTGTTTTCACTTAAACTCCCGTGGATTTTTTCATTCATACCTCTCTTTAACACTGTTAGAAAATTTACTAAGTATATATATTCTACTTTTTTTAGAAGAAGAAAATAAAGTGATAAAAAAAATAAGACCAAATATTATGAAAGCTTAGAACACTTACTAAAAGACTAAAAGAATAAAATAGTAAAAAAAATCATATGTGTCAAAATAAAAAAATAGAATAAGAACAAAAAAATAAAAGAAAAAATAAGACCAAATATATTAAAAATCACAACAGTGACAGAAAAGACTAAAATTAAAATAAGAAGTAGTCCAAATGAAAAAATATATTGAAGACAAAAAACTAGAAGAACAAATTAAGATAAAAAATAAAAAAAAAAGAAATAGATTAAAAGACA